GCAAAATCAAGCTATATAGCTAAATCAAGAGATTGTGCCGGACCTGATTAGTGGAACAGGTCAGAGGAATCTAGGATTAACTATCACACTGAATATGCTGACTGATCGTAATACTTACACGTTTCCAATAAAAAGGAGGCTTTATATTCTTTCTATATGCCATATATAAATTATGTTTGTTTATTTTATCGTAAAACATATAATATATACAGTAATACTTCTATAGAATATGTCGAATACAATGACTTCGAAAGTTCGTTTTCAAGGACAACAATAATGATGCTTGAATAAGGCATAGAAGTTATGATTCACCTATCTATGAGCTCTGCCTTTCTCCCCGAGACCCTAGCTCCTCTTTTCCTTAATTCATCTCTCAGTCTGGGAAGATCCCATGACCCATATCCACGATATCGCATACTTGGAACACTGTTTATCATCCGTGTCGCCATTGTTCTAGGACCGCAACGTTTGCTGCGCCACCTGTATTCAGGTGAAGACAACTCGAACGGTACGATGAAAAATGTAAGCCATTCAAAATTCATATTTCTGACGTTATCATGAAATAAGAGTTACGTCAGACTGGCCCGTGCGACTTGCATATACAAAGTATTTACACCTATAATGTTCAGTAAATAGTGTGCATTGTTTTAATTTTTTGTACATTTACTCAATCATGGTCTATATTAATATATTATTGTACATGTTTGCCATTGCGGACTTTATAAAGAAAATTAAGCATTTGTCCACAAACTTTTTGGACAACCCTCGTATATACACATGTAAATCTGTTATATAGTCTACTTTGATTTTGAATTGTTTGACAGGTCGAAAGGACAAAAACCTGCGGAGATACAAGTCAGACAAAGAGAGGTTAGAATGGAAGTGGAGGAACTAGAGAAGAAAGTGGAGAGAATGGGCAAAATGGGAACTCAGGTGAGGACATAATGGGCAAGATGGGCACTAAGGTATACACAATGTTCAGATAATAAACACAAATTTGTTTTCACAGACTTTGAAATATTCACAGTTTTATAGTCATGAAGACAAGAAATTGTACAACAAAATCTCCAAGGAAGACTTTATTTTTGATGCACTAAATCTCAAGAACCCAGGATTTCTAGGGCCTTCACCCTGGACCCACTGTGGGTGCTGGGCAGCCCCAGGGCCCTCTGCCTAATATAATGAGCTGGTGCCCCTTCTTAAATTAAAATCCATGATCCACCCCTGTGTATAATGTATTTACTTACAGAGGATAGGTGAGGAGACCAAACAGAAGGAGTATGAGATGAGGATATTTCTGTTATATTATGTACAGTGTATAATGTATTTACTTACAGAGGATAGGGGAGGAGACCAAACAGGAGTATGAGATGAGGATATTTCTGTTATATTATGTACAGTGTATAATGTATTTACTTATTGTACAGAGGATAGGTGAGGAGACCAAACAGAAGGAATATGAGATGAGGATATTTCTGTTATATTATGTACAGTGTATAATGTATTTACTTATTGTACAGAATATAGGTGAAGAGACCAAACAGAAGGAGTATGAGATGAGGATATTTCTGTTATATTATGTACAGTGTATAATGTATTTACTTATTGTACAGAATATAGGTGAGGAGACCAAACAGAAGGAATATGAGATGAGGATATTTCTGTTGTATTATGTACGGTGTATAATGTATTTACTCACAGAGGATAGGTGAGGAGACCAAACAGAAGGAATATGAGGAGATGAGGGTATTTCTGTTATATTATGTACAGTGTATAATGTATTTACTTATTGTACAGAGGATAGGTGAGGAGACGAAACGGAAGGAATATGAGATGAGGATATTTCTGTTGTGTTATGTACAGTGTATAATGTATTTACTTATTGTACAGAGGATAGGTGAGGAGACCAAACAGAAGGAATATGAGATGAGGATATTTCTGTTGTATTATGTACAGTGTATAATGTATTTACTTACAGAGGATAGGTGAGGAGACCAGACAGAAAGAGTATGAGATGAGGATATTTCTGTTATATTATGTACAGTGTATAATGTATTTACTTACAGAGGATAGGTGAGGAGACCAGACAGAAGGAGTATGAGATGAGGATATTTCTGTTATATTATGTACAGTGTATAATGTATTTACTTACAGAGGATAGGTGAGGAGACTAAACAGAAGGAGTATGAGATGAGGATATTTCTGTTATATTATGTACAGTGTATAATGTATTTACTTACAGAGGATAGGTGAGGAGACGAAACAGAAGGAATATGAGATGAGGATATTTCTGTTATATTATGTACAGTGTATAATGTATTTACTTATGGAGGATAGGTGAGGAGACCAAACAGAAGGAATATGAGATGAGGATATTTCTGTTATATTATGTACAGTGTACTGTAAAAGTGGTTATTTACACTACTTACACGGTAAGCTTAGAACCACGTAAAATACCCCCGGTATGGTCACAAAATTTCAAACTTCTGGAATCATTCTAGACCATGACTTATACTGTTAGACCGGTCGAACCAGTCATATATTAATCGTGGTATTGAACGCACCTGAGTAGATAAATACATCACAAACAGTGATGAAAAAGTAACTGTTCTTTTTTTTTTAATTGTGCAATGAAAAATGCATCTTCATATTAAATATTTTAAAGCAACGTCACGCAATTAAAGCTTAAAAACATCGATACTCATTTTCATTTCCTTTGTATGTACGTGTATGTCCCTCTTAATTTCAAATAATTAGTCCAAAATGTTACCCAAACTCACAGTCACTAAAAACATACCTATTGAATTAATTGCCAACACTCGCTGCGCAGATACAGGTAAGTAAATTCCACTTTGAAGTTTGAGCTTGCGTAAATAATTACAATAAAGCGTACACCAGTTGTTCACACTTCATCGCTTTTGACTGTGCAGATCGCCGTTATATTTAGTAATCCAACAGTATAAATTCTTTTTGTTTAGTTTGTTTGTACATGTAATTATTTCTAATTATTTTTTTTTTCTTATTCATGCGTGTAAACTACTTGACCTTTTCAAAGGGGAACAACTCGATGTTAGTAAACGATGGCTGCGTAAATTTTTCTCAGTAACTCGTGCGACCGCGTATATTACACCCATGCGTAATGTTTGATGATCACAAACGCGTGCTTAACAACCAGTGTAAATAACCACTTTTACAGTACAGTAAAACTCGGTTATAACGAAGTCACTGGGACCTGTGAAATTACTTTGCTATATCCGTAATTCGTTACATGAGTTATATCCGTATAAGAAATTCGTTAAATTTATATAGCTGGGGATCCAAGAAAAATTCGCTATATCCGTGAATTCGCTATATCCGTGTTTGTACTAAACGAGTTTTACTGTATAATGTATTTACTTACAGAGGATAGGTGAGGAGACCAAACAGAAGGAGTGTGAGATGAGGATATTTCTGTTGTATTATGTACAGTGTATAATGTATTTACTTATTGTACAGAGGATAGGTGAGGAGACCAAACAGAAGGAGTATGAGGTGAGGATATTTCTGTTGTATTATGTACAGTGTATAATGTATTTACTTGTTGTACAGAGGATAGGTGAGGAGACTAAACAGAAGGAGTATGAGATGAGGATATTTCTGTTATATTATGTACAGTGTATAATGTATTTACTTATTGTACAGAGGATAGGTGAGGAGACCAGACAAGAAGGAGTATGAGATGAGGGTATTTGTGTTATATTATGTACAGTGTATAATGTATTTACTTAAAGAGGATAGGTGAGGAGACCAAACAGAAGGAATATGAGGAGATGAGGAGGAGGGTGAGGATGCTGGAGGAGGAACTCAAACGTAAACAACAGCAGCCAGAAAAACCGTACGAGATCTCCAAGGAAACTCCTCCCATTAAAGAGCTCACCAAGGAAAAGGTAATTCTTACAAAAGAAATCAAATGGAAGACACAAGCACAAGTGTAAAATTATGAGTAAAATAAGAAACTAACATGAGAGAGTAATGCACAGAGTAGGAAACTAATAGAATGATGCACAATTTCATAAAGGAGTTAAGGTAAGTCAATGTGCATACAGAATCTAATATGAGTTATTAAGTTTTCCAAATCACCATGTTCTGTATTTCCAGTCAGAGGAATTGGTGAAATGGGAGGAGAAAAAGAAATGGCAGAAGACAGTGGAGAAAATTAGGCTGGCTGTGAGAGAGAAAGAGGCTGAGGTGGAGAGGCTGGAAAAGTCAAATAGGATTCTGAAAGATCAACTGGACAGTTCAGAGGAGAGAGAGAGAGAGAGAGAGATTGGGAGAGAGCATGTACATTAGCATAAAATCTTTAGAAATACAGTCTAAAAAAACATAAATGGGCAATGTGCAGGAGTTAAAGTATGCTACATTAATTATCTGTGATAAATCTACATGTTTGTACAGAGCTATTAGAGAGAAAGACCTGACTGAGAAGAAGTTAAGTAATGCCCAGAGAGGCTCAGTACCACCCCCCCCCGGGGACCCTCAGACAAACCTGACCATGTAGTGGAGGAACTCAAGACGAGGAACTATCAGCTTCAGGATAAGGTAATCAGTCAAATGGACAAATAGATGTAAAACTTTGGTAACAGATAACAGTTAAACCAAGAAACATTGAAAAATGGGGTAATATGTATCTGTTGAACAATTTGTAAACACCAGTTTACTACATTTAAACTCTCCTTAATTACTGAAGATGAAATTATTTTTCTTCCCAAAACACAACATGTCTTACCCTAATCTGGAATACCTGTACAGATGTACATGTATGGTTTTTCTGAGTGAATTCCTAATTCCTTGATATTATTGTCAGGTAACCAAGTTTCAAAGGGAGTTAACTCTGGCTAAAGATGTAGCTGTACGCGAGGTGGAGGTCAGGAATAAATACCTGACAGAACAGCTGGAGTCCATGGAACAGGTAGTGGCACAGAAAGTGTCCGTCACCTCTACACAACCAGGAGCGGATCAAACAGGGGTGTCTACCAAGGAATTCCAGGTCATTTTTGAAAAGAATTAGAACTTACAGAGACAAATGTTGGCCTTGTCTGAGGAAAATATTGAACTCAAGTTTGAGAATGAGCAGTACAGGAAAGATGCTCCAAGGCTTAAGGTAACATTATCATTTACATGTGTACTACTTAATTCTTGATCTATATGTAAAATACATGTATATGAAGATGTTTCAACTCTTACCTATCACTGATGTTATGTAGCTTCTTGCTTTGGTTTGTAGGAAAGGATAGCAGATCTTCAGAGTTATGTGGAGGCCCTCAAACAGGAAAACTCACAACTTGGAGGCAACACAGCCAGATCTTTTGACTCATTGGGCTCCAGTGGGATCAGAAGGGTAATTAGACTCTCCAATATAACAAGAAAAATAACACATAATTGTAGATATGAGTATGTTTGCATGCAAATATTAGTAGGGAAAAACAGTTAGTGTTAAAATGTTTCATCACATTGAGAACTTTACTTTTTGATGAACAGATTGGGGATAGTGGGAAAAGTGTGAGAGAATTAGAGAAGACAATAGCCCTCCTGAAGAAGGTTGTGGAGCGTGTACAGTTAGAGAATGAAGAATTAAAGAAAGCTCCTCACATAGCAGGGAATGAGGAACTGCAAAAACTGAGGCTGGAAAATGCTGGACTCAAGGTTTGTTTTATAAGGTTTATAATAAAATGGAGTGATATAAACATTAGAAGTGAAAGTAACAAAATTATGTTTATACAGTGTTGAAAGTGGATGTTTTTGTAAAAGTTAGGCATTGGAAATTATACGGAAAAACTACGTTTTTTGTTATATTTGATCTAGTTAATGTATTTCCCACCCCCAACTCCAATTTCTCTGGAGAGTCCTTCACTGTTATATTTAGATTTTGCATATTTACCTTTTACATTTTCAGGATCAATTGGAAGAATTACGAATGAAAATGGGTGCCACACTTAGTGAGAGGTACACCACCACACAGAAGGGTACCGCCAAAATGACGACAGATTACGAGAAAATGAGGAAAGATCTCATGAAGGTGTGCAAATAGGAAAAGTTACAGATTACATATAGATTTTATTTCCACGTCAAGGTCTATTGAAACAGAGATGAAATATACTGTCATATGATTAATATGACAGTAATAATTAAAAATAGAATTGTAATTGTTCCCAGAAACATTTTGACAAAAATTTGAAATAAAGAAAAATGTGTGTTTTTTTTTATCAACAAGGGACTGAGCCATGAATGTATTTATACATATGAGTCTTTAATGTGACTTGTTTGTTACTTTGCTACTATGATTTCAGGAAATTGAGTCCAATGAGAAGTTAAGAATGGAGATCCAGAATCTGGAGTTACAGAAGGAACAACTGAACAGCCAGCTCCAGGATTCCAAGTCTATGACAGGACTGGAGCGAGAACGTCCAGGTGGATCCGGTACTATGGACTCCAAGGGCTGGAAGTCAGCCGTCGTCACCCGCATGTAGGAGGGGAAACTGAAAGATCTAGAGAAGGAAATGGAGAAAAAGGTAGAAAACTCTTGAGTTTTAATGGATAGGAAGGTAAAACAAAGAATATCTGTTTTTACTCATTTCAGTACATTCAGTACATAATTGATAGCCTGGAACTCATGTTTAGCACTATCAGCATTTTTATTCATAATATGTTGACGGTGCAACCGTTAAGGCGAGCGCAGATACTTATTCAGTTTTAATTTAGATCGGACTTGATCGTCAAACTGCACGTGACATTTCGGTGCGTCTAGACTCTGACATCACATGATGTCGTATATTTAGATTACATTACCAAACCGAAGCCTGAACATTGTTGACTTTAAAGAAGAACGTTTTTTTTATTATTTATCTGCAATATATCCATAAAATCAAAGCGAGTTTATTTTTTGTTAAACCTTTTTGTTATTCTCAGGAGAACGTAGCTTAAACAAGTGATGCATTGCGGGTCCAGAAGATACTGCGGAAAAAAATTCGTTTAGATCAATGTGTAAGTCCGAATTTTCTCTTCGCCCAGGCGTTGTCGTTAGACCTCACATTAAGCGCCGCTTGCCGCGCTCGCTAATATACATGTGTTTATTTAAACTGATATGTTGATGCTGTGTATACTCACATACGTCTGTCCTCATTGACACTCCTGTTAGTCAGAACAAGTTATGCCAGAATCTGTTGACAATTTCAGCTCCATGTTCTACTTTGTTATCTGTGTTTTAAATATGTTATTCAACAAATCAATTTCATAGCAATACCATTTTTATATCAATACTCTAAAATTTTTACCTGGGTTATAATAATATTTTGGGAAATAAATGGCATTTATACAGTTGAACCTCGGTATCTTGAACACTAATATCTCAAATACCATGGATATGTTGAAGTGATTCGGAAGTCCCAACCACTTTCATGTATTCTTTAAGTATTTTACCCCTGATACCTCAAATACTCAGATATCTTGGAATTTTTTCATCAGTCCCATCGAGTTTGAGATAACGAGGTTTGACTGTATTTAATCTTTCATTTTCAACAAACAATTTCTCATGATAATTGTCAGAGCTTCGAATTCAGAAAAAAATACCAGATGAATGTTTATAGGACTCAACTACAGTGTAAAGTTATGACATAAGAGTTCTGGACTTAAATCCAACTCCCAAATATTTATAGGCAAGTGTATATGGTAATCATGAACAGGAAAATGAAGGAAGACAATTTGGGTGTAACCGTTTATTAATACAGTCAAACCTCATTATCTCAAATTTAATGGGACTTAAAAACTTTCAGATATCCCAGAATTCGAGACATCTAGCCAGGGTAAATACTTAAAGAATAAGGGATTGGGGCCTTTAAATAACTTTGACATATCCATGATTTTCGAGATATCAGTGTTCGAGAATCCGAAGTTCAACTGTACCCTGAAATTTGATCATTGAAAATTCTGGGAGGGGGGGGGGGAGGTCAAAATAATTAACATTTAAGACTTTTTGCAGAAATAATCTGGTTTGAAATAAGAATGTTCTGTATTTTTGTTTTGTAGAACAAATTATTGAGTGATACTAAAACTTTACTGAAGGAGGCAGCAGAGAGGGAACAGAGGTTACTGACAGAGAACCAGGCTCTTAAACAGAAGGTATAGTTTTTAGGATAAAATATATGAGAATTTCAGCTACTGTAGATTCCTTATTTTTTGCGAGTACTTATTATTGCGAAATGGCTCTTTAACGTCAAATCACGAATTCTTTCAAAACAAAAATTTGCGAGTGGGGGATTGATCAAGAGATTTTTCATCGATTTCAGCACCATAAAAATAAAAGTAATTTTATTTCACAAGTGGTGCATCTCGCGAAATTACGCAATAATTAATTCCTCGTGTATATTTAGGAATCTACAGTATTTGATGTAAATTAGCAATGCTATCAATGTTTATTACTACTGGTAGACAAGACAGTTCTAGAAACTGTTACATGTTCGTTATTTTAAAGACCAGGTTTGTAAACAATCTGACAATTTAGACCACATTTAATGTTTTAACTCAATTAACCTCTCTTTTCAGAATGCTATCTTGGAGAAATATCCTCATGGTGCTAAAACCTCAGATATGGGATTAACAAAAGATTTCCAGCAAGCCAGGTACTGAGTCAACAGAGTTGATTGTTCATAGTGTGCTAAATTTAATAATACCTTCTCTGTAAAACTGTATACTGAAAGATTATGGTAGTTAAAATTTAAGTAAACTGAAATTTACTTTTGTTTTCTTCACACTGTTGCCAGAGTGACTATAGAACGATTGGAAAATGAGAAGAAAGAGATACAGCATGAACTTCAGATATACAAGCAGCAAGGTGGAGGGACACAGGTAAAATAAGAAAAAAAAATGTTTATCCTGTGAATGATACATATATACAAATAGCAAGGTGTAAAGATACGTGTAAAAATTAAACTGCAAGGAGCAGTGTCTTTGTAGAGATTTAATGCAGGTTATTGCTCAAATACATAATACTGTTGAAATTATTTGAACTTTGTACCAGTCCATGTAAATTCAACTGTTGGTCATTCAAATGTCTATGTTTCATCTGATATTCATTCTGGAATCCAAATAGTTCATTACCTTATTTTATTTTAAACTACAAAGTCACCAGTTTTTAGCTCTTCTGAGCCAAAGGCTCAAAAAGCTAATGCTATGGCCAATGGTGCGGTGTGCATAAACTTTTTAGAATATGGGCCATAACTCAAGAACCCCTTGGCCAATTATTGTCAAATTTGTTACAGGGTATCCTTGGCCCAAGAGTTCCTGTTTATACTAAAACTAGGGTTGTGACCCTTAAACAAGGGGAGATAATTAGGTAAAAAAAAAACCCAAAAGTACTGGTTGCTAAAAAATCTTCTACTCAAGAACCACTGGACAGATTATCACCAAACTTACACAAAAGGATGAAGATATGCTGTAGATTAAAAATTGTTCAAGGCATCACCCTGGGGCAAAGGGCGTGGTCTCAAGGTCACTTCAAAGTTGACCAAAAATTACATTTTATAAAAATGTTGATATTTTGCTTACTATAAGGATCATCAAATCTTGTCAGTTGATGCATCCTAGGACCTCATATCATGTTGACTCGAAAGTAGGTCATGGTGATCTACTTTTTAAATTTTGCAGCCATTCTTTTTCAAAATGATTTAGGGGAATATCTTGAACAATTTAAGGCCTATGATCATCAAACTTTGTCAGTTGATGTATCTTGGGTCCTCAGAATACATCAACTGAAAAGTAGATCACCCTGACCTACTTTTTGAATTTATGGCTAATTTCTTTCAAAACAATTAAGGTCATTAATTCGAATACTGAGAGGTTTAGAGTCATTGAACCTTGTAAGATGATCCATATTTATTAAAAGTAGGTCACAGTGACCTACTTTTTGAACTTTGCAGGCATTCAATTTCGAAGCATTTTGGAGACATAATTTGGACATTTTATGGCCTATGATCATAAAACTTTATATGTTGATGCATCTTGGTTCCTCAAAACACGTCAACTGAAAAGTAGGTGACCATGACCTACTTTTGAAAATTTATTGCTCTATTAATTATTTTCAGGTACTATTTGGCTAAGAATCATCAAAATTTATCAGCTGATGTATCTTGGGTACTCAAAGTAGGTCGACTGAAAATTAAGTCGCCATGACCTACTTTTCAATTTATATCACTATAATTCAATATTTCGGGTACTATGGCTTAGAATCATCAAACTTTGTCAGTTGATGCATCTTGGGTCTCCGAAGTAAGTCAACTGAAAAGTAGGTCACTGTGACCTATTTTTGAAAATTTATGTTTTTAATTAAATATTTCAGGTACTTGTTGGCCTAGAATCATCAAACTCTGTCAGTTGATGCATCTTGGGTCCTCAGAGTACGACAGTTGAAAAGTAGGTCACTGTGACTACTTTTGAAATTTTATGGCTGCATTCAATATTTTGGAGTACTATTTGGCTTAGAATCATCAAAATTTGTCAGTTGATGCATCTTGGGTCCTCCGAGTTCAACAACTGAAAAGTAGGTCACCATGACCTACTTTTCAATTTATATTGCTATAATGAAATATTTCGGGTACTAATTGGCTTAGAATCACCAAACTTTGTCAGTTAATGCATCTTGGGTCCTCAAAGTATGTCATCTGAAAAGGTCACTGTTACCTACTTTTGAAATCCAATGGTTATAATTAAATATTTAAGTATTAATTGGCTTAGAATCATCAAACTTAGTTGATGCATCTTGGGTCCTCAGAGAATGACAAGTGATAAAAAGGTCACCTACTCTCAGGTACTTATTGTCTTAGAATCATCTTGGGTTCTCAGAGTGTTTCACCTAAAATGTAGGTCATGATGACCTACGTTTGGAATTTCAAGGCTTTATCTAAATATACAGGATACTTAATAGAGGCTTCAAATAGAAGTGATAAGTTGTACAGTTTATCAGAAGAGCGATTCAAGGCCCTTGGGCCTCCTGTTATATGTTAATTGTCACCAGCTTGTACAACCTTGCCATTTCTAGCCATAAAATGAGTTTATTTTCATTCTAACAGTTATCAGGTGATGTAATTACCAAGGTTACAGCCTACGACAGACTAATGGATGAAAATGTGGAAATCAAAATGCAGCTACGAACAGTGGAGACAGAGAAGGACAAATATAGACTGGAAATGGAGAGGGTGAGTAGTGTTTGGTAGAGGAATGGAGAGGATGAGTGGTGTATGGTAGTGAAGATAAATATTGACTGGAAATGGAGAAGGTGTGTAGTGTATGGTAGAGAAATGGAGAAGGTGTGTGGTGTATGGTAGAGAAATGGAGAGGGTGAGTAGTGTATGATAGAGAAATGGAGAGGGTGAGTGGTCTATAGTAGAGAAGGACAGTTATAGACTGGAAATGGAGAGGTTATTTAGTGTGTGGTAGCTAGTGTACAATCTGTTTTTTGACTGGAAATGGATGTATTTGTATGGTTGTGTATAATATGTGTTTGTTTACTGAAAATGGAGAGGGTGAGTGTTGTATGGTGACACTTCAAGTGTGGAAAATTAGAATGTTTATCCTAATTTTTGGGAAATACTGACAAGACACTATCCAGATATCGGTTAAGGCCAAATGTATTTTTGAAGGTCAAAAGTCAAGGAGAATGTTGTACCTCGTTAAGGTTTTAGTTTCCATTCACAATTTTAAATACATATACAGTCAAACCTTGTTGTCTCGAACTTGATGGGACCGAGAAAAAAACTTCAAGATATCTGAGGGTTTGATATATTTAGGGTAAATATACTTAAAGAAAAAGTGCTCAGGACTTTCAAATCACTTCAACATATTCATGGTATTTGAGATATCCGTGTTCGAGATGCCAAAGTTTAACTGTTACAGTAGTATATGTGTTCTTTTTATTTTTTAGCTAAAGAAAGAGTTATCCAACTTTGGTCCAGATTTCTTTGAGGAAATAGAAGATTTAAAATACAACTACAAGCAGGCACTTGAAAAGAACATTTTATATGAGGAGCGACTTCAACAACTTGGTGTGAGATAGAGTCTTTAAAAGAGAGGAATTGGAATTATTGTCTTGGAGAATGTTCTGCCTTATAATGTGTCCTTCTTCAGAAAATATAATTGTAAAAAATTGTATGCAAGTTTAAGTATAGCTTTGTTTATTATAATGAATGCTCTATCTTAAAAAAAAATGAAATGAAAGAGACAGAGGCAAATGTGGCTAGAAGTAGTTTACATGATAATACATGTGCATGTATTACAAGTGAAACTGCATAGAAATATAGTTAGTAATAATGATGAAAGTAAAAATAAATGAATTGTATACCTCTGAAAAAATTGGAGGGCATTTGGACTCCTCATCCATCCCATGCATTTGTAATTGAATAAGTGCATTTCCACTGTAATGATTTTAGTAACGTTATCTCTCAATGTAACTTCATTTGACTTTAAAAAAAAAAACATGTAGCTGCATCTGTGATAAAGAACTAGGCATATAAACTTTATACTTGTATATATATATATATATATATATATATATATATATATATATATATATTGTTACATTTATCATTGTGCAAAGTCTGTCTTTTCAGAATGCTATGTTGTAGATCTAAATCATCTGCCGTCCTTTCAGCATCTTTATTATTTTTGTATAGCTGGGTCTCATATTTATTTGAGTTTCAAATACAAAATAAACATGAATGTTATATGCATTTTTTTTTTGTCTGTACATGTAATTACAATCACATATTGACAAGAGGAATAACTCAATTTTCGACTGTTAGGTTACCTTAAACGCTCAGGTAACATTGTTACCTGTTTTTGTCTCATGATTGTGCATTGTCTGTGTTGCTTTAATTTGAACATTTTATGAACAATTTCAGCTTCTTTTCTGGAATCACTGAACCTATTCTATCCAGTTTTGGCATATGGCATCTATGGGTGAAGAAAAACAACATTAATATTTTGTAAATTTCATGGTCCCCGTCCCATATGACATGGGTTGAGCGAAAACCATCAAAATTCATGCACTATTTAAAAAATATTCTCTTTTACTATTGCTTATCAAGCAGTTTAACTGTCTACATGACTGTACTAACTTTAAAGCATTGAGCCCTCTACCAAAATTGTGAAATTCATTGCCTCTTGGACAGGGATTCTGGAGTTAGGATGGTGCTCTTTGAGTCACAGTAAAAATGCATTATTTCTTTGAAAGTCTTCTCAGCTCTTGGTTATGAATCAAGCTAATTGCGTTGTCATGATAAGCAAGGGTGTCTCTTCCAAAATTGTAATATTCATTGCCCCTTTGGCCAGGGGTTCTGGTGTTCGGGGAGTGCTCTGTTGATATTCAGAAATTCTTTAAAATTTTTACTTGTCTGTTCCTAGGTAGTGAGCAAACAAACTAAGTGTGTGGTTATGATGAGCAAGGATGCCTCTTCAAAAACTGTAAAATTTAAAGGCTTTGGGTCACGGGTTTTCATTATGTCAAGAAGGGGCTCTATTGATTGCCAGAATATGGTGGAAATACATTAATTCTTTAAAATTATTCTCATTTTTTCTGGTTATCTAGAAGGCAAATAAAAGAGTACAAAGTTGTAATGAACAAGGGTGTTTTTATTAGGTTTGTGAAATTCTGGACCACTGGGTCAAGTGTTCTGGTACTGGGCAAGGCTCTATTTATATTGTAGAGAAATACATGTATGTAAACTTGTAAATTTAGTTAAATAAAAATTAGACAAACATGGCTTATCTGTACATCATATATTCTTTAAAGACCAGAGAAGCCAACGTGTGAGGGAATTTTAATGATTCTTAAGCTCTTTTGTATTATTTAGTCTGCACAATGATAGTGGCAAATGGGGGTATATTGGTACTGGCAAGTGTATATATCTACTTCACGATTTGTAACTGAGTACTAAACTATTTCTTTGATCCCTGATAATACTATTTCTCCTGCCTTGGGGCAACATGTCTTCATCTCTCAGTTTATTTTGTTTTTCATTCTTCAGTGGGTCCTTTACAGTGTTGTATTATACTCAGGTGACCCTTAAGGTCTTTTGGCTTCTTGTTCAAGAGGGAAAAGAAAATCGAGCTTTTCCCCTTTACATCCATACGAAGAAAAAGCCAAGTTTCTTGTTACAAGTAACAATATTATCAGTAAGCTATTTAAAAAGTCTTGGATAACGTTATTTGAAGGTTATAATTAGATATAAAATCATACAAGAGTACAAAAAAGTTAAATCCACTGAAAAAGACGTTAATGATAACCTAAGAACAAAACTTTATGAAAAACGTGATGACTTCAACTTTTCTATAGTCAGCTTCCCTTACTTATGTAGCAATATACCCTTATTACCTACATATGGGGTTTATGTCTCCCAGTTGATTCGATACGCAAGAGCATGCTCTACGTTCGATCAATTTTTAAGACGAGGCAAGCTATTAACCAACAAGTTGATGAAACAAGGATATCAACAGTCTCGTTTGAAGTCATCATTTCGCAAGTTCTATGGTCGATACAAAGACCGGATCAGCAAATACAGTTTATCTTTGGGGCAACTGCTGACTGAGGTTTTTCATACTAGTTGTTAAGCCATTATTTACACACTGAAATTTCTACGTTTGCCCGATCATGACAAGGAGCACACGGCTGGTGTGACCGGTCGACGGGGAATGCTTACTCCTCCATGGCACCTGATTCCACCTCTGTTTTTTTGGAGATCCGTGTCTGTTCTGCCCCCGATTTGTATTGTTTAAATGGACTATGAGCTTAAATACTGTTCGCTATCTTCATATTTTATTGTTGACAAGAAAAAGAGATAACAATCCTGTCGCTTTTAATATTGAAAAAAAAAAAACCAATAAAGAGATTTTTTTTGGCCTTGGAGAATGTTGTGTGACTCTTTTTATTTTGGTCAACCCTTGAATACAAAGCTTTATACATTAAAATCAAATCCGAAATAAGCAGTTAGAAGACTGTATCTACGAAAACAATATACACTCTCTGTAACTTCAAAAAAAGATGTACAAGATCATAATTACTTATTAATTTAATCAATTCATTACAACAGTAGCATGGATATATGTATAATCATTTCCGTGTAGCAATCGTAGGTAATGTAGCTATCGTAAGTATTGATTGTGGTATAGTAATTCAAACTTTACATTAATTAAAATACGAACTAATAATTGAAAAAAGAACATTTTCTGCCCAAAATAAAGTTGAATAAAAATGTACAAACTATACCACAATCAATACTTACTAATGTAAAAGGCTACATCTGTTTTATTATGTTTTGTATCAATTTTTGAAAAACATTTCTAATATGTTTTGATATAAAGGAGGATCCCCATTCAAGGCATTGTTACGTCTTACCAATTATTACAGAACATCACAATTATGAATAGGGTTGAAGTATTTTTTTTCAGAAACATCAAGTCATACACTGTATTAGCTATTGTGAAATAAAACCATTGTTGTTTTACAGAAAATTATTTTCTTTTTTACATGTACAAGTAGAATCATCCAAGTTGATATGCATTTTAGAATCTTTAAATAGCCCACTTGGAATCAACATCATCCTCTGTCGTCGATCAGATTGAGAGAATTTAATGGATGCGGCGTATATACATATACTTGCATTGTTTCACATTAAATTCTAGGCAATATGGAAAACTATTTGTACGTATACCATTACAAACACACAGTGTAGTTGTTGTAACGTTCAGTGGTTCAAATGTCAGTTAAATTTCTGAATCCGAAGGGGATGTATAAAATAAAATGATGATAGTAATACCAAACAATAAGGGTACCAATTCAACAAACCCACACTTAAATCTTCATTCAATAGATCCTATACTGCACAATCATGCTAAGATTTCCCTTCATTAATTGATTAATAAAGAAATAACACGTTGTAATTTAAATCCTTTTAAAGCTTGTGTTTACTTGAAGCAGATTTATTATGAAGGAAGATCCCCTCCTCAAAAATAATTATAACAGAAGTCAGAAATAAGGTCACACTAATCAATTTTCAACACATACAGGTAAAGGGGATATTTAAAAAAAACAAGGTGAAGGTTACCAAAGGGACGCCATATAAGGTATACGAACCTTAGCTGTCCGTCAGATTATGGATAACGAGAGTACCTGATTTCAGATATGTAGAGAGATAATTACATGAGGTAAAATATACAATAGCTAGATAGATTTGATGTTTTATTTGAAAAAAAAATATTTTATGAGATAATCTGAAAAAAAAACCTAGTTTCGTTTTTAAGTTTGAATGTACAGATCGTGGATTATTGACTTCAAGGAAAAAATGATGAATAATACGGATACATGTATACTCGAAATAAAATTAATATTCTTTTCATAATGGTATTTCCATTCTTCAAATATTTTTAAATAGTTCGTTGCTTTCATAAAAGGTTTCAAAGAAGTATCTGTTCACAAAGTTCGTGTTCCATCGGCATCGATGTATATAGTATACAGTTAAAGTATATCATTGAGGGAGTTAGCAAGATTCAAGTTCCTTAAGACCAGGACTATTTCCCGAGGCGAACTGGAATCTTGCTAACCCCCGCAATGATATACTTTTAACTGTTTTATTATACGATACAAACGTAAAATTTAGAGGATTCAGATAGCGTGATTCCAAAGCAGGGATTAGCTCACTGAACTAACACATGGGGATTAGTCCATTCACGTATCATACCAATGTAAAAGTAAAATCTAGAGGATTACGGATACCAGGAATTAGCTTTCGAAGCAGGGATTACATGTAGCTCACTTGACTAATGTACGGGGATTAGTCCTTTCATAACGATTTCTAGGGAATAAGTCACATCTAACGATCTAATGTTATATAGGGAAAAAAATCAGTAGAGTCGTAATAATCATATTTAACGATCTAATGTTATACAGGGGAAAAAATCAGTAGAAGTGTAACATGTGTAATAATACAAAATTATTCAAATTGCTAAATACAGAATCTTGGTAACGTGCCTTGAATTACATTATAATCTTAGAAAAGTGACGACTTTTATATCGTTTTTAAAAGCATTTTTCTATCCATTCTTGTTCCTGGACTGTTTTATGATTACAATCATGGAATTATTGACATTATAAAAGGCAAAAAACATAAACTTAGAAAAGAGAGTTTATTTAAACGGTGCAACCAACCTTTAGAGAAATAATTGTTATCATTATGACATGTTTGATATTGGAGTTTTTTTTTAATCCTGTTCATTTGTTTTATAAAGACATTAAGGTGGTAATTAAAACAAACAAAAACAAGATGTGTTTGTGAAACACTGATGCCCCCGTATGGCAACTTATAGCAAAGGTTAAACTTTCTCAAATGCAAATCAAATAGTTGGTACCCAAAGTAAGGTCTTGTGTCGAGGAAATATGAGAACCCTAGCAGCAATCATTGAATAGATATGGAAAAGGTTAAAGTTTTTTCCAAGTAAGTCAAACATCCAGGACAATGTCAAATGGTCAAAATTAATGGTTAAGGAAAGGCCTTCTCACAAGAAATATACTGGTGAAATATGAAAGCGCTACCATCAACCGTTCACAAGTTATGGCAAAGGTTAAAGTTTTTCAAAAGTAGGTCAAACTCCAAGGTCAAGGTCAAGGGGTCAAAGTTGTTGGTATCCAAAGAAAGGTCTTGTCACAAGGATGTGAAGTATGAAAGCCCTAGCTGCAACGGTTCAAAATTATGGCCAAGGTCAAAGTTTTTCAAAAGTTGGTCACTCTCCAAGGTCAAGGTCAAAGGGTCAAAGTTGTTGGTACCCAAAGAAAGGTCTTGTCACAAGGATAAAATATGTGAAGTATGAAAGCCCTAGCTGCAACGGTTCAAAAGTTATGGCCAAGGTCAAAGTTTTTCAAAAGTAGGACAATCTCCAAGGTCAAGGTCAAAGGGTCAAAGTTGTTGGTATCCAAAGAAAGGTCTTGTCACAAGGATAAAATATTTGAAGTATGAAAACCCTAGCACCAATTGTTCAAAAGTTATGGCCAAGGTTAAAGTTGGGGAAAATTTAGCAAAACTGGGTCAAACTCCAAGGTCAAGGTCAAAAGGTCAAATATGGTGGTACCCAAAGAAAGCCATAGCTCCAACCAATCAAAAGTTATGGACAATGTTAAAGTTTTTGCGGACAAACAGAAAGACGAGCGGACACGGCAAAATTATATACCCCCGAATCTTCGATACGGGGGCATAAAAAACCCATTTCAGCTGGGTCATAAATGATGGAAATTTTAATTACATAATTATTAACAACCCATCCTCCCCCAATGTATTTTTTTTATTGTTCTATTATAGTATAAACTACAATTCTATCTTATAAATTAGTTTTATTTCGAGTTAAATATTATATGATAACCAAAGTTCTTTGTTCTTCCTTTCATTTGATGAATGCACTTTTCATTTCCTGTATGTGATACATATTTTCTGTACAGCAATGGCTGGTATAGTCGACTCTTGTCCCCAGAACCTGACAGATACACTGCTAGCATCTGCAAGGCTGCGCTGTGGGAAAGACAAGTATGGTAATGATCAGTATTTATGTATCCCTAACTCAGAGAAGACGGGTCTGGTAGAATTATGTCACAATGGAATTACGGGGATATTGGAAAGAGGTAAGTGATCATTTTTTTGATTATTAATACATGTACAAAAAATTAAGTACAAAGGTTTTCAAAAAATTTCGTGGAAACATGCCACAGATTTCTTTTTGTTGACGTATACCATACCTAATAGGTATATGGTTATATATTTTTTATAAGAAAAATATTTAAGGTCAAGTGACTGTGCAATATGTACATCAAGGACCATTAAAACTGACAAAATGCTGTTGTCCATGATTGTTTGGACAACCCTCGTATATCCTAACATTTTTTAATGTTACATAGAAAAGAATTTTTCGAAAATTTCCATGTTATGAGCTTGAGTTTTTAACGAGTTATCAAGAGGGCAATGAAAGGAGCCCTTTTCTGCATATAAATTATTTTTACGTACACGTACACGTACTACAGCAAAAGCTAAATTCTTTAGAAAAAGATTGTGATGATTGGGGTATGAAAGTAAATTCTAATAAAACGAAAATTATTATATTTAACAAAGCTGGGAGAACAATCAAACATAAATTTCACTACAAAAATTTCAATACTGAATGTGTATCTAGTTATAAATACCTAGGCATCTATTTCACAGCCTCGGGGACTTTCTCTATGGCAAAAAATGAGTTATACAAAAAGGGACTTAAAGCTTTTTTCAAGTTACGAAAAGACTTTCTTAGCTTAAATCCTGGGATATCCACTAGCCTCAATGTCTTTGACCACACAATTAAGCCTATATTACTTTACGGCTCAGAAATATGGGGAATATTTAATGTTAATAATTCAAAAATAAAGCAATCTAATCAAATATTGATGCAACTATGCTATAAAAACTTTACAGGAGAAAATTTACACATCAAGTTCTGTAAAACTATACTAGGTCTGAATAGGAAAAGTACGAACCATGCCTCTCTTTCAGAATTAGGTAGATATCCTTTACATTATGATATTATCAACATGTTACTTAAATATTGCTACAGATTAGAAAATTTAAATTCAGATTTCCCTTTACTAAAAGATGCATTTATATGTAGTAAGGAACTTCATTTCGCCCAAAAAACAACTTGGTACTCCTCAATAGAAAAATTACTAAAAATTCTTGATATTCCAAACATAATGTCCTATACTAAGAGTAATTTTATGAATTCATTAAAACAATCCATGAATAAAAAATACTCACTTGATTGGCAACACTCAAATGAAACACTAAAAGAGGGCAAACTTGTCACTTATTTATTTCTGAAGAACAATTTTAGATTGGAAAAATATCTAATTTTATTAAAACCTGAATACAGAAAACCAATATGTAGATTACGTGTATCAGCGCACAGACTTTTCATAGAATTAGGCAGATATAATAACACACCCAGATCAGAAAGAATATGTAAAAATTGTACGCTAAATCAAATTGAAGATGAAGAACATTTCCTTGTTCACTGTAGCAAATTTACAAAGGAAAGAGAAGACCTATTTAACCTGATCTCATCTAAAGTAAAACATTTTACAGATTTGCCTGATAAACAAAAATTATTCTGGATTCTAAATTGCGAAGAACTAGATATACTAAACTCTCTTGGAAGATTTTTTACAAAAAACATTACCATAAATTTTAGGAATGTAACTTTTTTTATTATTAATTATGTAAAAGTATGATACTTTCAAGTATATGGTTTAGTAATGTATGCATATATATATGATGTACTGTATATATACCTATAAAACAAGTCTTATGTTCATATAAAATATTTTGGGTATTCCCCTACTTGTATGTCTTTTTCTATCAATCAAGCAATTCTTTCCCTCTTATGTATATGTATATTGTATTTCGTGTGTATGATCATAATCATTATATACATTTTAACAATGTACTTTCTTTTTGCCCCATGAGGGCCCTTAATTGGTCAATAAACGAACTGAATTGAATTGAATTGAATCGTACACGTACACAAAAAATATGTAAATGTAACCACATCGACCATAATATATATAATATATATTTCTCAAAATTACACATCGCAAATTTATATTAGTTTAATTAATAAATGCATACCATGACATAATTAAGTTATCAACATTATGTTTTAGGTTATTGTTTGGAAACCACTGGCGATCAGCTGTCTAGAAGTAACTGCTCAGATTTTCTAATGGGCTGTCCAGAAACAGAAATCCACATCAACGAAATGTACAAACGTAAGCACAACTTCATATTTGGTGTTTAATTTCATTGACATCCTTAAACTTAAAAAAATATTTTCCTAAATAAAATTAAATATTAAGTATTATTATCCTTTAATTTAGATCCAGCCTGTCTAAGAATAAGTACAGACCATCATTGCTATCTTGCTGATCCATCCTGTGGAAATACGTAAGTGATGAATATTTATAGTTAAATGAGCAAGTAGTCTTAGTCTTGTATCTATATTTACAGATATATTTTCCTTTAATGTATAGCACATGGAATACAACTACCAAAGACACAGCAGAGACATTGGTGACCCAGGGATTGTCTACAGACCATGAGATGTATAATGTTACGGCAACTAATATTCAAACAACCACTTTACCAGGGGATAACTCTGCAGTAATTGGGACAATCGTGGGAAGTCTTGTTGCTGTGTTGGTCACTCTTCTTCTAATTCTGACTATAGGTAGAGTTTTACGAAGAAGAAAACAGAAGCAGAAAAAGTGGGGAGAAGATGATGTTTCAGGTGTGCGTCTCATTTCCTTTTCAGATTTTCTGCTGTTAATGTAATCAAAAGATTTATGTTTATAAATAAAGATAGGGAAGAAATAAAGTAAAATAAAAATTAAAAAAATAACTTTTTATCAAAAATAACTTTAATACATTACATCACTAATAAATATAGTTTTGTATTTTTCCATTCTTACTCAATTCATCTTTTAATGAATAATTATTATATTATGAATTTCCTTTTTAGATGACGAACTTGAAATGATGTTGAAAGCAGAGGAAGTAAGACAAGGTAAATATATTCAAGAAAATAGTGGCACATATTTTTTAAATGATTAAGCAGTCACCGCAATTATTGACAAAGTAAAATAGTTTTCCCCTGGCAGCATATAAGCCTGAAAAATGACGTCAATATACAAGGACGATACAAAAGAAGTCCTCTTGTAAACAATAAAGTTATTGATCCTGAATGTAAAAATATACTGCTACCAACCGGATAGGATAAAAAGAAGTATAAAGTTTAATATCAATCTGTATATTGATGCAAATTTATGAACGCAATTTACTGCCTTATATTCTTCCAGTCATCTATAGGAATGCCCCCCCTTTTTTTTGCAGAAATTCCTCTTGGAAGATTGGCTCTCTCTCTCTCTCTCCTTTCTCTCTCTCTCTATAACAAAACTGCCCCGGATAATTTGCCATACACATGTTGCAAACGTATCCCCGAAGAAGGATTACTGTATTGTAAAATTCCTCCTCTCTAAAGCACTTCGCCCCCTCCTTAATGGTTGTGATATTTTAGATGCACCCAATTATAGGAGTATTCAGCTCGTTATTTTTCCGTTTTATAAAAAGTGTTTGAAACAATTCAATTCAACTGAGATATTTCTTACAGCCATAAGGCACTGAACTTTGACTAATTCGAGTGTTGTTAAAACGCAGAACGGAAAACAGAACGGAATGCTAAACGGAAAAATATGATACCAGGTTTAATCACGTGACAAATATATAAATAATTCTAGTCTACGAAAAGATATATTTCATCTAAATTGTTCATATTTCATCCTTGATTATAAAATGCAGGTTGATTTACCGGTAGTCATGATTATTCTCTTATAAAGATCGCTGAAGAAAGACAAAGCATATAGGGTATGGAACACGGAACAGAAAATATAATGCCGTACATATAACGTGTCGTGTTTGTCAAATACGCCTGAGTGAAATAACTTTATTCAAGACCACTCTGATTGATATGAATGACCAGATTCGATATTTATAGTAAGTAACGCTATCTTTTCTCAAGAATTTGTGATCTCCCCTTCAATTTCATTTTTTATATCGTTCTGTGCAATCAGCTTATGATGTTTTTCAATTTGGCTATATACGATACGGTATTTTTATTATAATATTTAGGCCAAATTATTATTACTTTATTGATATTTTTATTATAATGTATATGACCTTGTACCATAGGACTGGCGGTAAATTTAGATTTTGCTTTCATGTTGCTGTGGTGTATTTGCCAGAAGAATCACAGTTTTTTTTAAGTCACGCCCACCTTTTGGCATCTAGCCATACTGTGTCAAGACCTTGACTAATGAATGAATGATGTCAATTTCAAGACCAAGGCAATGGCTGATGAATGAATTAAGTCAACATTTTAAATTTCAAAAATACTAACATTATTTGTACCATAGGACTGGCGGTAAATTTAGATTTTGCTTTCATGTTGCTGTGGTGTATTTGCCAGAAGAATCACAGTTTTTTTTAAGTCACGCCCACCTTTTGGCATCAAGCCATACTGTGTCAAGACCTTGACTAATGAATGAATGATGTCAATTTCAAGACCAAGGCAATGGCTGATGAATGAATTAAGTCAACATTTTAAATTTCAAAAATACTAACATTATTTAGCTTGTCGGTGTCCGCTTCATAAATTTCTGTATGTTTTCTCCGCGTATCCTTAATCAGTAAATGATACGTCCCATCTCGAATTCTCGTCATTTTCTTTCCCGTCTCCAAATACATATAGCAATTTCACATCAGAAGTCCCCGCATTTTTTTTTACTTCCAATACCATTTCAAGCTTTCATTAAAATGTCACAAATCATTTCATTTTTTTTCTGTTCGCCGATTGCCATAAAGAAAAAGTTCAATGCCGATGTTTCCCATATCCATCCCCCCTTAAAAAAAAACGATCTAGAAAGATAACTTTTCTTTCAGAGTTGACGGCTTGAACATAAAAGCCTGCAATCGCTACCCCTATACCTGTACCTGACAAAAATCATGTTTTCTGCGTCTTCAACATTTCAAAGGTACAATATCTTCACACGTACCAATTCCGATTTTTTTATCAACAACTTGTACATGTAGTAGCAGTGCCGCAGTAAAGTATGATCCTTGCAGATGGAGACAGCTATTTATACAGACTCCGGACCGTGTCTTGACACCTCGTAGTAGGCGGTGCTATTTATCAACTCGCTTTTCTCTCATTGGTCCTCTGGTACAAGTAACTTACACAATAGATATTAATTGGTTAGCTGTAAATACACTCACAGTTTTTATTCACTCGGGGCTCCGCCCCTCGTGAATGAAAAACTGTGAGTGTATTTACAGCTAACCAATTAATATCTATAGTGTAACTATAACTTAGCTTGTCGATGTCCGCTTCATAAATGGTTTTGTATGTTTTCTCCGCGTATCCTTAATCAGTAAATGATACGTCCTATCTCGAATATTCTCGTCATTTTCTTTCCCGTCTCCAAATACATATAGCAATTTCACATCAGAAGTCCCCGCATTTTTTTTTACTTCCAAAACCATTTCAAACTTTCATTAAAATGTCACAAATCATTTCATTTTTTTCTGTACGCCGATTGCCATAAAGAAAAAGTTCAATGCCGATGTTTCCTATATCCATCCCCCCTTTTTTCAAAAAAAAAAAAACGATCTAGAAAGATAACTTTTCTTTCAGAGTTGACGGCTTGAACATAAACGCCTACAATCGCTACCCCTATACCTGTACCTGACAAAAATCATGTTTTCTGCGTCTTCAACATTTCAAAGGTACATGTACAATATCTTCACACGTACCATGCAATTCCGATTTTTTTTTATCAACAACTTGTAGTAGCAGTGCCGCAGTAAAGTATGATCCTTGCAGATGGAGACAGCTATTTATACAGACTCCGGACCGTGTCTTGACACCTCGTAGTAGGCGGTGCTATTTATCAACTCGCTTTTCTCTCATTGGTCCTCTGGTACAAGTAACTTACACAATAGATATTAATTGGTTAGCTGTAAATACACTCACAGTTTTTATTCACTCGGGGCTCCGCCCCTCGTGAATGAAAAACTGTGAGTGTATTTACAGCTAACCAATTAATATCTATAGTGTAACTATAACAAATTGTAAAAGTGAAAAACAGCCTCAAACGAGGTTGCACAGAATGTTATAAAGATAGAATTGATGAGGAAATCCATATTTTTGAGCAGATATATACACTTTGATTATATTTTGGTAATTGTGAAGGTGATGTTATCGCAGAGAATACATTATCCACGCTTCAGGTAACCGTGAATTGCAGCAACAGCCCCACCCCTTTTAAAGGTGCATAGACACAGATTTGAAGTTTATATTTTCTCAAATTTTCTGTATAATATCACAACTTATATATTGCTATAGCATTTCACACGAAAATAAATTTAAAAACTTATTTAATCTGGAAATTATTGAAACTACGAATTTCGGGAGGCGTTTGATTAACACATCCTTGCGCTTTCACAATCTTTAACTTTATCCTTAATACTTAAGAAAAGTAGCAATGTTGTTGTGTATTAATGAATAATATTACATCTATAATCCAGAAAATTCAGAGTAAAAATGTGCGAAAGCAAAACCCACTCACTTAAGTATTGTCAGCCCGTGCTCAGTGTTGTGTAGTTGTGTACAGAGTTTAACAAATTGAATACACTCGTGAAACGTAAACTGTTTTTGTAAACAGGGCACGAGCTCTGTTGTTGTTAATGTTTATGTTCCACCGGGTGTGCTCAATTGTTAAACTCTGCACACACCACTGAGCACGGACTGACAATACTGGTGAGAGGATTTTGCTTTCTACATTTCTACTCTGAAATTTCTGCATTATAGTTTTAATATTTTTCATTAATAAACAACAAAATTGCTACTTTTCTAAAGTAATAAGGATAAAGTTAAAATTTGTGAAAGTGCAAGGTTGTGTCTATCAAACGCGTTCAGAAATTAGAAGTTTCAATAACTTCCAGATAAAATAAGATTTTTATCAAATTTTCGTATGAAATGCTATAGCAACATATAAGTCATGAAATTATGCAGAAAATTTGAGTAAATATTAACTTCAAATCTGTGTCTAAATAAGTAAATAGGAAGAGTCATACATATGAAGCTTAAGAAGTGAATGAAATTAAAGTTTTCATTATCCCCCTCCCCCCCCCCCAATAGTTTTTTTTTTTTTACAAAAGGAAAGGGGTCAAATAAATTTCTTGTTGGATTTTTTTGGACGAGGGTGGAACCCCCCCCCCCCCTTTCCCTCGGAAAAAAAATCCTTGATCTGCGCCTGCCATCCAACATGTCTGTTTTTTAAAAAGCAGAATCTTTTCAGGATATGTTGTCTACTTATTTAGGGGGATAGTGCACAAATATGGTATTTATGAAAGGATATGGTTATATTTGTAACATTACTCACTAAAGCCCTGTCTTTGATTATGGTCTACTACATAGGTACCCTAACAAAAATTTACTAACAATAGTTAACTATAGTTTAGTATAGTTAACTATAGTAAGTACAGGTACTTTGATTTATTATGAAACTAAACTCTAGAACTTTTTGAAAATTTAGAGCCTTTATATTTATAAAGTACATACCTATGACTTAAATGTTTGAAATAATAATTATGTGAATATACAAGGTTAAAGTAATCATGTTTATTCAAGAAAATAAGTGATTAAAAATGAGTCGCGAATTGGAACTGTCGTGTGACATGCAAAATTGTTTTCGTATATTTATGTTACATATAAACTTGTTACATGTAGTAGTCGGAAAATAGCTCTTCAGAGCTAATGTTTCTTGTTGTCTTACTCGTCTTTAAATAAATATTATATTATGTTATGTCTTTTTGATATCTATTTCATTTATTCCGATTTTTTTTTCTCTTGTAGATTCACCCTTCGTGGGCAATTACAACGTGTGGAAGACAAAGATATCAGGTGAGCATTTATCTAAAAAAAGAAAAAAAAATACATTTGTGAAGGTTAACAATGACTATCAAGGCCATCTTTAAAAAAACTGTTTGTTAGCCCTTTCCGACTGGCTAAAAGTGGCCCGACTCGAAACTTTTTTTTAAACCTCCAGGAAACTTTTTTTAAAATTCATTCTGGAATTTTCTTATCCTGTCAAGAACTATTTAAAGTTTTATAAGTACCCTCAATTTTAATAGATTTTGAAAATTCTGCATTGATGTTGAAATTTTTCTGGGAATTTTTTTTCTTCCAACCTACATGTACCCGCCGACCCGTTTATTATTATTTTTTTAATCTGCTTTCGGAGAGGACAAACAAACATTATTTTAAAGAATGCATATTACATATATGTACATGCAATGCTTTAGCAGTATCTCGAATTCATGGCGTTATTCAAAAACATATACACATGTATACGTCACAGGATATTTTTCGGATAGGGTCAAGGTCTTTTTATTGATTTAAGAATCCAGGAAATACTCCCTTCCATGATGTCATATAAACGACATCTCTATCTATTTTTTAATTAAGCTTTACGTAGGAAAAACATTTTTGTTCCTCTGTAAGCTAAATGCAGGGAATATTGATTTGGACCTGTCCGTTTATCCGTCCATTTGTATGTCTTTCTGTAACTGTTTAGTTTCCGGATTATATTTCCAAAAAAAAATCTTTCGGCTTTTGCATCAAAAATTATGTTACAACATTTGACTAAAATAAAGGACAAGATAGGCTAAGACCCCTTTTTGGCTCCTGGTTTGCAGTGTCTTTTTAGAATGATGCAACAGTTTATTAATAAAAATCTGTTGTCAGCCCTGCCACAAAATGAATTTTGGTTCTAAGTTATGGGATACACAGAGGTCACAGGAAGGTCAGAAAATATGTCAATTTCCGAATTTTCTAATTTTATGCAATTTTTCATCGATTTTACAACACATTTTGTTTCAGATAAAACATGGAGCACAAGATTGCCTATCTATGAAGTATAAATATTTCATGCACTAGTATCAGATGCTTTTTGTGTATAAAAATCTCAGATAGGCAAGCGTGCGCTCTATGTTTACCGAAGTGCAAAGTATTTCAAATTTGACGAAATTCCATCAGAATTGAGGAAATTCGGAAAAATGTCCAACTTCTCAACTTCTGCCCCCTTGTGGCCTCTGTGTAAGCTTTGAATCAAAATTAGTGCTGGTTTTAAAACAAGCATAATTTCAATTTCTTAACTACAAACTATCTCAGTTTTAACTGTTCTGATTTTTACATCAAAAAAGGGGCCAGATTCCGCCATTACCATACCTTGTCCTTTATTTATTTATTTTTTTTTTTTAAGATCAAAGGAAAAAAAGGACAGAAACCCATCTACGTTGTATTGCATAACGTGATTTCCAGATCATTACTATAGATCTTTTTCACATTTCAGCGAAACTTAAAGTGAGGACTTGATCACTCTAAATTGAGAGAGATACCTATTGATTTTGAGACTAATGATGAAAGGTCAAGGTCACAAGTTTTAGAAAAACCCCATTGATTTTGAGGCCAGAAGATGAGAGATCAAGGTCAAAAATTCAAATATACATGTAGTATGAAATGGTTTCCAAATTCACTTAGATACTGTCTATAAATAAACAAGTCCACTATTTATTTCGAGGATAAAGAGTAATATTCAAAGTCTTAAATTTATACAGAATATTGTAAAAAATGGTTTCCGGGTATTTTCTTCCTTCATTATCAGACATAAATTCCAAGATTAAGCACTTTGCGTGCATAAGAAATATTTCAGAAATACTCTTTTCGAATATGCACACCATTATCTATATGAAAATATATCCAGGCACGTATCATCGTTTTAAAAAGAATTAACAAGAATTAAGATAAATAAAAATGCATTGACTCTGAAATATTAAAATATCTTATTCAAAAAAATATCTATATTTTAATTCAACCCGTTTTCCTTCCACATTTCGCATTATTTACTTTTAAACCATTCACAAAAGTAAATATATATATATATATATATATATATATATATATATATATATATATATATATATATATATATATATATATATATATATAAAATCCTGATTTATAGAAGTCTAAACAGTCCAAAGTATTTTGCTTGTCCGTACATGTAGCTTTATTTATATGTATATTTTTTTCAAAACACTTTCAGATTTAATCTGTTCTGTATAATAGTAGTTCACCTTTCCAGTGATTTTTTTGGGTCAAAATGCCATCGATATTCGGCTGTTTCCCCTCACAAAAATTAGCTATTTTTTCCCCAATTATTAGTATATTTTCCCCAATTTCAGTCATACGGAAATTATGTTTTAATTTTGAACAAAAGTCGCTAAATTCATGGCCGTAGGAACCGGGGGGGGGGCACGGGGGGGGGGCTGTGCCCCCCCAATAATTTTGCCGATATATAGATTACTATAGTAAACATAGATACTATATGCTTGTGCCCCCTCAATAAAAACGTCTGATGAGGTTTTTTTTTTTGCTTGTCAGGAAATTTTTGTTTGGTAGGGCCCCCTCAACTGTCAACTGAAAAATGTATAGCTGTGCCCCCCCCCCCCCCCCCCCCCCACTGAAATTGCTTCCTACGGGCCTGAAATTTGCTGACAGAGTAAATACGTTTTTATTCTTCAATTTTATTTTCCAAATCCATGCATATGCAGCCGATTTTTTAAATGAATGTGTAAATCAATGCAGATATCCATATAAGCAGATAAATAGTTTATAATATCCTAAATGAATTAGTAAATAGTTTCCAGGTACAAGTTATATTGCATGTTGACATAATGAATTTGGTATGACTGCCATTATTACATAGAGGGTCAGGCTAGTATCAGGAAATGAACAACACATAGGTTTCAGTAAAATCAGGGAAAACAAACAAACAGTAAAGACTGTAAACTTGATTATAAATATAAGACAGTTTACTAAATAATGAGTCTAAATGCTGTTTTTTTAATGAAATTAGACAAAGCAATTCCAAGAAAATAGAAGCTTTAAGGTGTGACTAATATAAGCCATGTTCACATTCAATAAAATATTGATGTTCATTTTTTTTTTTAAATGATTATTTTATGAATTTAAATCAAATTCAAAGTTAAAATTAAACAAAAACTGTTGTTGTTACTTTGATTAAATGATTTTTCCGAATTTGAGGAAATGTCGCTAATTTTTTCCAATCCAAAAGGAGGGGGTGGTTGTTTAAAAAACAAACAAAATCACTGCTTTCCGATCAGCAGATTGAAAATTTTTAAGGCGATTCCGTGTTAATTGTAAAAGCACTGCTTTCATACTAAGTAAAGAACACTAGGCGGTTTATAAGTAAACATGAAAAACCCCCGAAGTATTCACATTATGATAGTTATTTCAATGAAAAAAAAAAAAATCAGGGTCTTTAAACTATATTATGTATCATTTCCCATTGACAGGGTTACTCCTAATGTATTCGTTCTTTTTTTAGATCAGTTCTCCACACTGACTGATGAAGAGGTGTCCGTGTTATTTTGTTTTCTGTGTTCTGACTCCGGTCCTCCTGACTTCACTGATACAGAGTGGCTGGACTTGCTTAATGAGATACGACAGGAAGTGTACGGTAAAGAGAATCCTGTAACAAGTGAGGAAGCACAGCAGACTCTGGACAGACTGAAGTCACGTGATTATCTTTGGGAAGATCAGGACAAGATAACGGAGGACACAAAGGATGAGACAATGTATAGGATAGCATCAATAAAGTATTTAATACCATTCTATTACAGTAGTTATGACACAGCCAGTGTGTACCTGAGATCAGAGATGTACAACAGAAAACCTAAAGAGAAGTGTGTCTGTAGTGATGGTTACAGTGATTACTTACTGATACTCCGTCTACAGATGAACATACTGACTCACGTCACCATGGAGGACACGTATATATATGATGAGATATACCAGATATGTAAGTCAGTGCAAAGAAATGTAGTTATTTTCAGACTCCAGAGAATGCTTAAAATGATTGATTGACTGAATATTAATATATTTATAAATAAGATAGGGTAAGCATTAATCTAATTTCATGATATAATGTCTTTGATATTGATGACTATTTTATTTACTTCATGAGGCTTGTACACAGCGACTCATGCTACAAACTGTAGATAGATGTACATGTTAAACGATTGTGAATTAATTAAAAAATAAAAGGAGAAGACAATGAACAGTGATCGATCTCTAGGAAATCTAGTAACTATACAAATATGTAAACATATGTAAACAGTGCATAAATCAGGGACGGTGATTAGATATAAATTTATGTATATCTATACGTTTTAATTTTATTTTTGTTGAAATAACAAATTTAACACTGTGACAGTCTTTGTCTTCTTCTACAGTGAATGTTTCAAACCAAATACTGAAGGAGAGTGAAGATAAAAGAGAAGAATTTCTAATGGATCTAAGAAGAGTAGGGGAGGCTGTACATTACAGAGGAAGATCACAGGACAGTGTAGATCACGTGACATGGCTCTGGAGATACAGAAACTGGGCGAGACCTGACATCGTGAGATCCTGTATAGGCCTCCATCCACACAATGATATCTACATCATTGACAACAAAGCTTACAGAAAACCAAGTAAGAAAATTAATATAATTGAAATGTTTTATTCATTTTCCTTTAGGTTTTTTTTTTACAGTATTCACGGGAAGTAGTGGAGACACATAAGTTTTAGCCGTACGACTTCGATAAATAAAAACAAAAAAGTGCACTCTAAACATGAAACTAAACCTTATTCTGCAAAATACTGACCAACTTTATTTAAGGTGTCTGACATCGATAATTAAACAAAGTGTACACTAAACAGGGAACCTTACGTTATTTTGCTCAGTGTAGACTATATCCCTAGATGTATCGATCATGCTACCTTGGTCACAATAACGTTTCATGAGAATGAACAGCTCTAAAAGCTTAAATATGGTCACTGAGCCCCCCCCCCCTCCCCAAAATATCCACCATTCTAAGTAAGTTTTTCATGAATATGGAATTCCTCCTTAACATTTTACTCCCCCAGCTGTGACGTAGCATCATTTTTGTAAGTGGGGGATGGGCAGCCAGAGAAAAAAAAATCAACTAACCTGAAAAAAAGGGGGGAGGGAAAGAATTTGTCCAATCTGAAACCCTGTCCAAACTCGAAAATCCTTAATTCTGGGGGGGGGGATAATGAGGGGAGGGGGGGGGGGTAGGTGAACTTCTTTCAGTCCCAATCTTTTTCATATATTGCTACATTATCTTTATTTGTCTATATTGAAAAAAGTGGGGGGACCAGCCTTTCAAAGTACATTTTCCTTAGAAAAAGTTATGTGTGGAAAAAAGTGGGGGGGGGGGGGGCAGGCCTCCCCTTGCCCCCCTGATACTACCTGCCTGTAGTTCTACTTTAAAATAGATAATGAGTTCCTGTCTATAGTTGCAATGCTTTTATGTTTAAGTGCACATGCACTTAATATAACTTACCAGATAAAATTTGGGACGGTTGATTGCAATTACATGCGGTGTAGCAGCCGCTAATAATAAAACGCCGCTTATAATGTTAGAAATATCATTAAGCATTGCAATGCAACGCTTAATGTCATAAATTATTGCATTAATAGTTGTCATTCTCAATTCTATCATTAAGCGCCGATAAAGCGTTAGCGGTTGAGAATGCCAACTATTAATGCAATAATTTATGGCATTAAGCGTTGCAATTTTAAGCGTTGCAGTTGCAAAGCTTAATGATATATCTATCATTAAGCGGCGTTTTATCATTAACGGTTGCTACAACGCGGGGATCCATTTTTTCTCCTAAAAGGGGGGGGGGGGGGTGTTATGGATGAGCGATTATTTTCGTAAACCGGAATGTGATTATGAAATACGTATCGTGATACAGAAATTAAAATACCAGTATTTAGTATGTAAATATCAATTTCGGAAATAATTAATTTTCTTGTTAAAGTTTTTGAAAACAATTACTAAAATAAAAAAAAATGTTTAAAAGTAGGACAACGACATCCCAGCATTCAAACATGCTTTATAACATGAAGCTTTGTCTTCACAAAATATTTGTTAGAAACACTATCCAAATTCATTAAAACTAGCCAATTCAGAGAATCTGTGTCCCCGGCTTAAGGAAAAAAGAAGAGCATGCGCAGATCCGGGGGGGGGGGGGGGGGGGGGCAGACACTCCAAGAAGGGCGGGCGGAGTCATAGGGAGATATGGTATAAAATTTTATTGCATAAACTCAAAAGCTTCTTGAGATATTGCACGGAAATGAAAGTCTTACACACACTCACAGAATGTATGAATTAACGACCTTGACCTTTGACCTTTTGACCTCAAAATAAATAGGGGTCTTCTTTAGGCCATAGGAAATTTTGGTATAAAATTTCAAAAGCTCAAAGGTTTCTCTAGAAATCGTGTTAACATGAAAGTGTAAAAAAAAAAACAGACAGAATTTATGAATTTATGACCTTGACCTTTTGACCTCAAAATCAATAGGGGTCTTCCTTCGGCCATAGGGAGTTGTGTACAATTTCATAAAAGGGCTCAAAAGCTTCGCGAGATATATCGCGCGGAAACAAAAGTGTTACAGAAAGACGGATGGGACAGACGGATGGACAGACAGACCGAAATTAATATCCCCCATTTTTAGTGAAAGTATGGGACAAAAAAGTATAAATGAAATATCAGCCTAAGGTAATTTTTCCACATTTCTTTAAGAACAAATCTTGTAAATATAAGCTACAAAAATTCCCATACTCTACAGTGGCTTATATTCCTTTCTGTTCATGTGTAGGCTAATGTGGAGCCGAAAAACTTCACCAGGCGCAAAGTGCCAGAACGAGAAGGGTTATCTTAAGGGGGGTGGTCACCCACCAAGAAAAAAAAAATCAGGAAAAAGAACAAAATGGCGTGATATTATATAATGAAAATGAAAGCAAATCAAGTTGTCTTTCCTTGGTTAAAATCTCGAGGTGGCATGTCAGATTCGTTTTCCGGCAAATTGCGTCTGTCTGCGTTAACCTCTGAAAATGAAAGTGAAAGTAGGGGAATTCCAGACTTCTCACTGGTGTTATAATACATAAAATAATTCTGCTGATCTTATTGATGAATTACATCTTTTTTGCAAGGGAACATACTCCTTATCATTAAGTATGAGGCTCAGTTTAATACATTATCACATTTTTTTTTATTCAGTTCTGCAAATTAAGGAACTTGTAATTTTTTCTGCACTACTTTCTTCCCCTATCGATTCTAAAAATAATTAGAGGTATGTACCCAAATATGAAAGAGTATTTTCTGGATTTTACAATATTTTACATCATAAGTCATACTACAGTCTATGTAGTGACACTATGCCAAATTTCAGGAAAATTCAATCATTAATAAAGATTTTACAGCATGCACAGTTCTATATGCAAAATCCTTTAAAAATGCTTTCATCTAGCCACAACTGCACCCACATTTAAGTCATCGGTTAGCCTATTAATGTACTTATACCATTTTTATTCTCTTTCATGACTTTAAATACATCAAGCAAAATTACAATCAAGCACTCATATGGGTCCATTTCTCTTATTTCAAAAAATCAATGCATTTTTGCACAAATTTGATCATCCCTCACCCTTGAATTCATTGTTTCTCCATGATAGACAAAAAAATTAAGTTTACAAATACCCCGAAAGTAGTAAAAATAGAAAGTACTGATTATTTCCTGTCCATTGATGTATCATTCAAGAAAATTGGTGTAGGAATAAAAACGTTATAAGCCTATATATTCTTGTGTACATTCATCTGTTTCAAAGGAATTTTTACGCCAATGCAAGTTCAGTCATCTATGACGTCATAATGACATCATAATAATGGATTGCTTATTACACATGTAGTGTTACTTTTCCCGTACTTTTAATCAAAGATGAAATTAGAACTAAAATATTCATTATAACTATAAAATAATAAAAATACTTGCATGAGCAGATCAAATAAATAGTCTACAGAAAATGTTTTGTTTCCATGGTAACCATTTTGTAATTTGTAGAAAAATGAAAGAGAACTTTGAAAATTTTGAATTTCCTTACAAGTCGCTCGTTTTGACTGACAAATATTAAAGAAATTTTAACTCTAGTATTTTTTAATCTTAATATTTTATCATACACAACACTATGAATGTAAAATATTGTTTTGAAATTCTTTTCAAATTATATTAGCTGTAAAATATATAGCATACATGTACAGATTAGTTTGATGGTTCACTTTCATAGCTCAAATATTCATTTAAAATCTACATTTTCTAAGCTTTAACACCACCTCCCTCCCCTCCAACCCCCCCCCCCCCACACACACACACACAAAGAAGCTTTAGAAAATTCAACTTACATATTGAAAGTACTGCCATCATTTTACATGTGAAGACTCAAGTTGTGTTCAAATGAGTTTGTTTTTACTGACTGATAGCTTTAAACACCACCTGCATGAACCTGGAAGTTGTCCTGTATCACCATCAACCTAAAAAAAATCAATTTAAAAAATGGTGCAATAATTTATCAGCATCAAAAGCACCTAAAACATTCACAGACAGACATCAAACACACACAATCCTACCACATTCCTTTTATGCCCATAATTTGATATCAATTGAAAATTATGAATTTGCACTGATTAGTCTCAACATTGTTAAATTACATGTAAATTAATAATACAGGTAAAAAGCATGTTTACTGACAATAATTATACATTAGACAAATACATGTAATGCTGTTAATACATGTTAAATATAAAAAATGTTAGTGTGCATGTTCACGCACACACTGCTTAACTTCCACAGAACTGTAATCTGACCAACTTCTTTGAAAGAATGCACATGTATACTATGTCCTCATTCATGTAATTCTATTCCATGAAAATAAAAGTTTTCATTTACAAATATTGTAATAAGGCATGGAAACCTTTTTTTTCATTACCTCTTTCATAAAATGACAAGTGCATATCACCTACATACTGCAAGACTCAGCACTAGGTAGCACTAAGCAGTTTCGATAACTTAGGACAAACAGCACCAAATGTTTTCCCATAGACTTCCATACAAAGTTGAGCCCCTGTCACTGATTCATATATTCAATTTTGGGTATATGACTTTCTTGCCGTGAAAGTTCGAGATCTTGCAAAACAAAACATGCCAGAAAAAATATACCGTGCCGTTGCACTTTTACTTTCAAATTCCATTTTTTTACAACTAGGTGCGTTCAGCACCAAATGAAAATCTCTAACCAAAGTGCACCCCTCCCTTCAAATTTTTACCTGTAACTCCTATATATCTCAAAGAAGCCTAAGTCTTGATATGAGATTTTTATCACCTTTATTTCACTTGTCAAATACATAACAAGTCTTTTCTCTTAATGACCAATCATGTGCCGTGTAGCATTTTCTTCTCCGCACAACTTTGGGTGTCCAAAATGTCTGCACCCATGTATAAGGTTATGTAGGTGTTTTCCCTATAGAGATATACAAAACACTTGTAAAAAGTGGTCAATTTAGTACATTTAGAACACATATCCATTGGTTATCTCACCTCATGAATATTGGGACTGACAGTCCTAGCTGAGGTACACCACTGGCTGTTACATTTCACACCCCAGTCAATCAGACCTATACCTGTGAAATAGAAAAAACGTCTATAAATTGAAGCATTTTTCCACTTTTCTTCCAAAATTTTGAAATAAAATGATTAATCTAGCATATGTTTTGCTTGTTTTTCTTATTATCTCTCATAGTCTCTTAAGATAGATCATGTTAATCATTAAGGGTATCAGGTACCCGGTATAAATGAAAAATGAAAAAAATCAGCAGGTTTTTGTAAGAAAATGCTCAGTTATGGAAAGAGGAAAAGCTAATGTAGGTTAAATAATCAATGAAAAGAAAGAGAATTATGTTTGATTTAAAAGAACATTAGATTTTAAAAAAATTATATCAGGAATGGGTTGCTGGCATCAAAGAATCAAATACACCCTCACTGAAAAATTTTGTAATTCTGAAGGGGGTGACCTACATTTTAGCCATTGTTATAGGAAATTTCATGTAATAAATATTAAATATGTATATTCTCATGGAAGGCAAATATATTTATTTGCATATCATTTCTAATTATTTACATAATTATTAAATTGATTAAATGCCAAGGGCAGATAAATCATGTTGTCTGTCTGAATACAGGATTCAATTGTAAGCAAAATACTTAAATAACTGCTGTTCTGAGGAAGTTTATATTCTAACAATCTTTGAAAAGTTCTAAATAACTTAAATATTAAGAGATTAACTCTTAATGAATGCAAAGTGTTCATCCTGGGAGTGTCCATATGTTGTTCATTGTAAGAGGGGAGGGTTCATTAAACTTCTCCTTCTTGATGATGCATAGCTGAAATACATTTTATTTTATTAAAACATACTGATACATGCATGTAGTAATTTATATTATAATTAATTATTATTTACACCATCTTTTGAATTTTTTTTTATAAGCATTTGTTATGTAATAGCTTAAAAATAATAATGTTTTAATAGAATTTACTCAGATAATAATAATAAAAAAAAAATGCTCAAGAAATTTAAAAAAATTACTGCAGATAAGAATTAGTCTTGTTATTCAAATTTACTACATTAAAATTCTTTTCCTTCATTTTTTTGTATCATTAGAGCACAAATATACCCCCCCCCCTTTTCTACAGCATATCAAGATGGGATCTGACAAGGGGGAGGGATATTTAGAAACACATTTCACCATTTTTTTCACCTATAATTTTGCATATTTCTTCCATTTTCAATGTATTTTCTTTTGCAATATATTGTACAGTAATTTTAATAAAATATCCTACCAGTAACCTCTCAGTTACACCAAAAGCACAACTTTTATTTCAAACCAGCACTAATGAGATGACTGAAATCTGCTTTGCAGCTGGATTAGGCCCCTTATGTCAAAAGAAAGTAAACTATTTAGTAAACAAAACAGTCAAATATTGTTAAGAATTATTCCATTAACTCTGATTAATACAAATTTGAAAGATGTTTAGTCAATCTATACCAATGTCTACACTCATAAAACACATGGATTTAAATGTATTTCTCAAGCTGCGAGGGGGATATTCATCTATTTTGTGTATTAATGATGCCAATAAATATCAATATTGTATTATTTACAACATTCCCAGTAAATTTCAGCATAAATATTCATTAAAAATATTTACATGTACATTCATTGCAAATGTGAGAGCTAGGGGCAAAATTTTGGCATTTTTGCACCATGTGGAGTCCCCATTTGGGGCCTCAGTTTACCCAAACCCTCTGATTTCTATACAGATAGTAAATATTAACCAAAGTGTAATCCCAATGCTTAAAATATAGGAATTGATTGATTTTCTGGCTGTAATCAATGTTTACCAATGCAATACATACCTACTCTATAGGACAAACACCACCAAATGTTTTCCCATAGACTTCCATACAAAGTTGAGCCCCTGTCACTGATTCATATATTCAATTTTGGGTATATGACTTTCTTGCCGTGAAAATTCGAGATCTTGCAAAACAAAACATGCCAGAAAAAATATACCGTGCCGTTGCACTTTTACTTTCAAATTCCATTTTTTTACAACTAGGTGCGTTCAGCACCAAATGAAAATCTCTAACCAAAGTGCACCCCTCCCTTCAAATTTTTACCTGTAACTCCTATATATCTCAAAGAAGCCTAAGTCTTGATATGAGATTTTTATCACCTTTATTTCACTTGTCAAATACATAACAAGTCTTTTCTCTTAATGACCAATCATGTGCCGTGTAGCATTTTCTTCTCCCCGCACAACTTTGGGTGTCCAAAATGTCTGCACCCATGTATAAGGTTATGTAGGTGTTTTCCCTATAGAGATATACAAAACACTTGTAAAAAGTGGTCAATTTAGTACATTTAGAACACATATCCATTGGTTATCTCACCTCATGAATATTGGGACTGACAGTCCTAGCTGAGGTACACCACTGGCTGTTACATTTCACACCCCAGTCAATCAGACCTATACCTGTGAAATAGAAAAAACGTCTATAAATTGAAGCATTTTTCCACTTTTCTTCCAAAATTTTGAAATAAAATGATTAATCTAGCATATGTTTTGCTTGTTTTTCTTATTATCTCTCATAGTCTCTTAAGATAGATCATGTTAATCATTAAGGGTATCAGGTACCCGGTATAAATGAAAAATGAAAAAAATCAGCAGGTTTTTGTAAGAAAATGCTCAGTTATGGAAAGAGGAAAAGCTAATGTAGGTTAAATAATCAATGAAAAGAAAGAGAATTATGTTTGATTTAAAAGAACATTAGATTTTAAAAAAATTATATCAGGAATGGGTTGCTGGCATCAAAGAATCAAATACACCCTCACTGAAAAATTTTGTAATTCTGAAGGGGGTGACCTACATTTTAGCCATTGTTATAGGAAATTTCATGTAATAAATATTAAATATGTATATTCTCATGGAAGGCAAATATATTTATTTGCATATCATTTCTAATTATTTACATAATTATTAAATTGATTAAATGCCAAGGGCAGATAAATCATGTTGTCTGTCTGAATACAGGATTCAATTGTAAGCAAAATACTTAAATAACTGCAGTTCTGAGGAAGTTTATATTCTAACAATCTTTGAAAAGTTCTAAATAACTTAAATATTAAGAGATTAACTAGATTTGCTAAGAAAACCATACCTGGGAATCTTAATGAATGCAAAGTGTTCATCCTGGGAGTGTCCATATGTTGTTCATTGTAAGAGGGGAGGGTTCATTAAACTTCTCCTTCTTGATGATGCATAGCTGAAATACATTTTATTTTATTAAAACATACTGATACATGCATGTAGTAATTTATATTATAATTAATTATTATTTACACCATCTTTTGAATTTTTTTTATAAGCATTTGTTATGTAATAGCTTAAAAATAATAATGTTTTAATAGAATTTACTCAGATAATAATAATAAAAAAAAAATGCTCAAGAAATTTAAAAAAATTACTGCAGATAAGAATTAGTCTTGTTATTCAAATTTACTACATTAAAATTCTTTTCCTTCATTTTTTAGTATCATTAGAGCACAAATATACCCCCCCCCCCTTTTCTACAGCATATCAAGATGGGATCTGACAAGGGGGAGGGATATTTAGAAACACATTTCACCATTTTTTTCACCTATAATTTTGCATATTTCTTCCATTTTCAATGTATTTTCTTTTGCAATATATTGTACAGTAATTTTAATAAAATATCCTACCAGTAACCTCTCAGTTACACCAAAAGCACAACTTTTATTTCAAACCAGCACTAATGAGATGACTGAAATCTGCTTTGCAGCTGGATTAGGCCCCTTATGTCAAAAGAAAGTAAACTATTTAGTAAACAAAACAGTCAAATATTGTTAAGAATTATTCCATTAACTCTGATTAATACAAATTTGAAAGATGTTTAGTCAATCTATACCAATGTCTACACTCATAAAACACATGGATTTAAATGTATTTCTCAAGCTGCGAGGGGGATATTCATCTATTTTGTGTATTAATGATGCCAATAAATATCAATATTGTATTATTTACAACATTCCCAGTAAATTTCAGCATAAATATTCATTAAAAATATTTACATGTACATTCATTGCAAATGTGAGAGCTAGGGGCAAAATTTTGGCATTTTTGCACCATGTGGAGTCCCCATTTGGGGCCTCAGTTTACCCAAACCCTCTGATTTCTATACAGATAGTAAATATTAACCAAAGTGTAATCCCAATGCCTAAAATATAGGAATTGATTGATTTTCTGGCTGTAATCAATGATTACCTATGCAATACATACCTACTCTATAGGACAAACACCACCAAATGTTTTCCCATAGACTTCCATACAAAGTTGAGCCCCTGTCACTGATTCATATATTCAATTTTGGGTATATGACTTTCTTGCCGTGAAAGTTCGAGATCTTGCAAAACAAAACATGCCAGAAAAAATATACCGTGCCGTTGCACTTTTACTTTCAAATTCCATTTTTTTACAACTAGGTGCGTTCAGCACCAAATGAAAATCTCTAACCAAAGTGCACCCCTCCCTTCAAACTTTTACCTGTAACTCCTATATATCTCAAAGAAGCCTAAGTCTTGATATGAGATTTTTATCACCTTTATTTCACTTGTCAAATACATAACAAGTCTTTTCTCTTAATGACCAATCATGTGCCGTGTAGCATTTTCTTCTCCCCGCACAACTTTGGGTGTCCAAAATGTCTGCACCCATGTATAAGGTTATGTAGGTGTTTTTCCCTTACTGCCACTCTACTTTCACTTTGACCTTGAACTTTACTGAATACCGATTCCGTCCTCATTTGTGAATTTTTGTGTATTGAAAATAAACAATAGTGGTGGATGTACTTCTAAAATAAGTCTTCTTTTTCTAAATATCTATTAATGGCTCTGAATTCATAAATTGTATAAAATCGATACATTTAATTTACATGCTACATGTACATGTGTACACAATGGAAGATATGAGCATAAGCTGTCTGTTCCTAAGGGGGGGGGGGGCGCTATTAACAAATCAATTTGTTTCAAAATATGTATAAACAAATTACTGGTGTTATAATACATAAAATAATTCTGCTGATCTTATTGATAAATTACATCTGCCAAGCTTTTTTGCAAGGGAACATACTCCTTATCATTAAGTATGAGGCTCAGTTTAATACGTATGTACATTATCACATTTTTTTTTATTCAGTTCTGCAAATTAAGGAACTATATATTTTCGTCCGTCGTCTTGTTTTAACATTTGAATATTTTCAGCTTCTTCTCTGGAATCACTGAGAACCAATATGTATTACTATTACGTACAACTGTGCCTCGGTTGACAATGGTTTTCCTGCGAATCCCGATGAATATTTTCAATGTTACCCTCAACTACATGCAATATGTATTAGTTGAATTTGACTCATTAGCCTCAAATCCTTGCAGTTCCTATAATAATTTATTATACCTCTGTAAATTTTTATGCCCGCTTCGAAGAAGGGAGTGCGTATTGATTTGCTGCTGTCTGTCGGTCCAAAAACAGATTCCGTTCATTTTCTTCGCAGAGGTTGCACATACTGTAATGAAATTTTGTATACAGATTTATCATAAGAATATCTAGGTCAAGTTCTGTTTTGGGTATCATGAGCAATTTTGGACAGAGTTATGCCCCTTGGACTTAGAAAAATTCCAATTATTTGGGGAAGGGGAACATAAGTGTTTCACAAACATCTTTTGTTTCTATATAATAATATGACAAATAAACCTACTAACCCCACCGTGGAAAAGTTTTTGTGCTATATGCCCATGGTGAAGTAGTCATCAAACTATTCACCGGCAGCATTCCGTTTCCCTCGCTTTTCATCTCAGAACTCATTTGCTTTTATCCGGATCGTGACGTCCCACGTCAAGTAAAGTCGGCTTCGGTATAATAAAACACCTACTTACTGACTATTGGGACACTATCATGTTTATCGGCGGCGCCTTGGGAAATAATTGCTGGCTTTGGAAATGATAAAGGTGCTACTGTCCTTATAGCCAGTAAATAGGTGTATAAGGCCAAAAAAAAATAATAACCCTGTTTTCTGCTACCCGACAGACCCTATTTTTTTTGCGCCCGACCCTAAAGTTTTTGTTTGAGTTTTGGAAGAGAAAAAGTCGGGAATTCCCGGAATTTCATCGTTCTGTCACTGTAGTCGGTTTCCGTGTTAACACAAAACAAGCATTTCATGAAATTCTCTGTTTTAGATATGGACTTTCATAAAATACCACTCGAGTTATGCATCAAAAGACATGAATATAATTTTAAAAGACAATATTGACCTGTGACATGTTTAATTAGATCTTGTATTAGTTCATATCCCAAAAATGCAGTCGGAAAAAAATTAAAAAAAAAATTCCTACCTACCTACCCTAATTTTTTCAGGCTCGTAGCAGGAAACAAGACTATTATTTTCTTTGGCCTAATATACACTCAAGATTAAAAATGAATAGAATTTCTAGTAACTTTTAGTTAAAGCTGTATAAAGTGAGCACTCTCCAAATGACAATTACACTCTGCTGCCATTTATAAATTATAATAATTTAAAGGTCTAGCAAACCTATACGATAAGCACCCTCCATTTTCTCCCTATGTGGAGGGATAGGAGGGGAGAGGTCAAGGTAATGAAGGTAGTCTAATTACGGATTCGAATCATTCCGTGTATCGGTTTGGGATTTTGATAAACCGTCTTAGGTTTATACGTATACCTTATACATATAATTCGTAAAATTTGAATATAAAATATAAATCCAAAAAGACAGTTTTAATCGATCCTCCGTTATCTTTCCCTATCAACTTTACGGAGAATTCTTATATCCGGGTTTTGGTTTGGGTGGGTTGAAGGATTATTTGTTGGTTTATTCTCTATATATCAATTATATACCCCCTTCCTCTAATCCGCATGGATCATCCGTTACCGACAAGTTTTGTCTTCAGTTATTAGTACAAATGACAGGTGCTTGAGTCTAGTGCCATTAATATTCAGTTGAAAAATAAAGATATTGTATGATGATATAGAATGAAAGGTAAATAATATTTTGCTTATGTATGACTTTAAACCTTTTAATGTTTTTTTAAATGTTTAAATTTCATAATTTCAGGTAAACACCATAACTTTTCACCAGAAGTCAGATGTCTACTGTACTGCTTACTGTTAACTGAGAAATATCAACTGAATCTCAATGAACAATCACACAGAATCATAAGGGACAAAATCAAAGACAGATATTTTCCTGATATCACTGATGATGACTCTATGGATCCTCCTGATGGAATCACAGAAACACATAACCGTGTGATGACCTTTATATCAGACGACTTCCGACATGACGTCATGTACGCCTTTGTGACGGAGTGTTTGGTGGAGGACAGTGATCTGGAGTTTTTCCTGACCACGGCGTCACGTGATGTGATATCAGAGTACTGCAGGTCCTGGTGGTATAAGAGGAGTGAGGGAGAGAGATGTCTGTATATACCAAACGAGCCGGAGAAGATGTACGAGCTCTTCATAGACAAACTACAGTTGGACATCATCACACACTGTACCATGTCTGACGTGTTGATTTATGACAGTATCAGTAAACGTTGTGAGTATCATTTCTCTATCATGTCAAATGTAATGCATCTATGTTTGAGTACAAGCAATCAGTATAATTCAATGTCATATTTATACACAGAATGTGTAACTAAATTATTTAAATTATTTTGAAACAGTTTATATATATATATATATATATATATATATATATATATATATATATATATATATATATATATATATATATATATATATATATATATATATATATATATATTTTAAAATCATATCAACTTAAATTGCATAATGTATATATCAGAATTCTCAGAAAAAAGAATAATATAATCACAATTTTTTCCAACAAGTTATTTTTTTAATTTTTAGTATTGTATATTTTTCAAACTCCAGAGAGAATATATAATACTAGCTATAATAAATAACTGTAAATATAAAAAAGTTCTTTATGAGGTTAAACGAACCTTTCTTTCAAATCAACACCTCCTTTCAATATTATGTATGGGAAATCAAGCTTCATCTCTGACACACTTGAGGAAACTTAATTAAGACTTCTTACCCTTTCCTACAAATACCTATTTCATGTGGAGATTAAGGTAGAATATGGAAGGGAATTACCACCAAAAGTCTATTTATCTTGCTTTTATTCTTATTCTGCCTACTTCTTTATTCTTTGTTATTATTGTAACTATATGTCACTTTATTGTTTTCATATTCGTCTTTATTACATTTCACTTTGAACTTTTTTCATTCTTCATTTTGTCCTTACTTCTATGTTGCTTTATTCTTGTAAATTCGTTCTTCTTTCTTTTAAATTGATACAGTTTCTTTAATAAATAATTATGATCATCTCTATTACAAATGTAAATTCAGTCACGCAAACCATGAAGCGCATTCAACAAAGACGAATACAAGTAGTGTGAATTTAATGCGGCATTATAACGCTAGGTGGCAGGGTGTTCGCTGCGAGTGTTGGTAAAATTAGGTACGCAAACCCGGGCGAGGTTATTCGACATTTTTCTGCCTTTATACTTTATCAATCGAACCCAAATTTCTTTATTTCAGGATAATAACTGTTCATGCGCAGTCACTTGATTCTGGGAACTGCAGGGCTGGTCTGGTTTCGGCCAACCCATAATGCTCTGCAAAGTAGTG